ACAACCTCTTCTTTATGATATTTCAAAGTATCATGAGTTTTGCTTGGATACATAAAAAGCTAGAGCACTTTTAGTGGCTCTATTTCGTATTCCGCCATATTAACTCCTATAAAATTTCCTCTGGTTTGGTTGCTTTCAGCGTGGCGGCCACGCCGGAAGTCGGCTGACATTCTGGCACACTTTTTACCCTTGAGTGAACCTTCTGCCCTATATCTATTCTGTTGCCAACACAGCACGTTTGTAAATATCACTCTGAAAAAGGGCGACTCCTTGTTTTGCCGACAAACACGCTTCTGGATGGGCAAATATAAATTCATAACTGGCATTTTTTAGATGTGAATCGTCGATATTTGTTTTATCGAGTACAGTGTGTTCCCCAGCTTGATCCGTAAGCTTACGCAAACTCAAAACAGCAGCTCTATCTCGTCTAGTATTTATCCTTCGTAGTTGATCGTTCATAAGGGAATTCAAAGGAGAAATGACAACTACCACGGGAGATAGGACTTGTTGTGGTAGAGAACTTGATCTCCTGTTCTTTTCCGACAACAACGAGGGAAGCAGATGGAATATTATTGATTTTCCGTATCCAGTAAGTAAAATCGCTAAAAGATCTTTCCCAAGATACACGGCTTCTAGACACAACACTTGTTTTGGTTTCAAAATCACAGAAGAATAATAGTTGCTGTCGTTGACAGCAAAATGTAAGCATTGCAAGAAGTCAAAAACTTCCATTTGGCTATATCCAATAACAATTATTTAAATACTACCACCCCTCCCTTGCGACAATTTCCATCTCCCATATTATGGGAGATACGTGACCAGTGTTCGCCAGGGCCTTTCCATAAGAAAGACCCTGGGTACGAGGTTGATGCCTTGAAAGTTCTTTAAAGGAAGAATTGGCATTGTATAACTGCCAAAAATCGATCAGCATGATGGCAAAAGAGAGATTTACAGAAATTGCTAAAATATCGACCAAGTTCAAACAGTCTGGAAATATGGAAAAATTCTGTTCGGATTATTACTCCACAGTTTGTCTTATGGCCACAAATTATTTTATTAACTTGTCTGACAATGATGCTAGTCTATTGGCATGACTACAGTTGCAGAGTTTATATTGGTTTATTACAAGAGAAAAGCTGCAGAAACCAATGACCAAATTTTGCCAAGAGATTCACCCTCAAAGTCAGTGCTCTCAAGCATGGAAATTGCTGGTCTACAATATCTTGGTGGTATGTATTGTACAATTTGTACAGAAACTGAAAAATTCAAGTCTGTGGGATTCACAAGCAAATCCCCAGTCTGTTCCAATATTACAGTAGAAACTCATGAATTAGTTGGGTGTCTAAATTGAGGAAATGTATGGGCTATAACACCTCATGCTCAAAGAATTTTTGAAGTAGTTGAGAACCACTTTAGGGCATGCACAAGCAAACCTAATTTAAACCTCCTTGTCACCTAAATTCCTCATCAAACCTCCTTGTCACATAAATACCTACTCTTGTAAACTGTTATTATTACCCTTTTGTAAATTAATACTTTTTTGACTTTTGTAAATAATTATCTGTGATTGTGTGATTTGTGCGACAAAATCTAATAAATTCAAATTCAAAATTCAGATCTGAAAGGCGCTAAGAAAGGCTTATTTTTCCTGTTATATTCAGTGGTGGTACTTCTGACATTTAAGCAATCAAAAAACATGTCAAACCATCTCACAAAACCTAGCTGTGGCAGCAGCTTCGAGAGGGCCGAACCTTTTTAATACTGCTGCCATGGATGCACTCAGAACCTGTGCTGCAAGATTCACATGCATAACAGAGTATGGAGTAAGATTTATGTGGTCAGAGGTAATTTTTGTCAAAAAGGTATATACTTTATCTTATGCGACTGTAATGGATCCAAATAAGTTTATATGGATTCATATTCAGCTATGATCTGTTCTTGACGTTCTTGGCGTGCTTGGTGTTCTTGACGTTCTTGAAGATCTTCGCATTCTTGGCGTTCTTAGTGTTCTTAACGTTCTTAGTGTTCTTAGTGTTCCTAGTGTTCTTGGTGTTCCTAGTGTTCCTAGTGTTCTTAGTGTACTTACTGTCCTTAGTTAGTGTTCTTACTGTCGTTGCAATGCAAGTGTTGATAAAATATTGTATCAATTCATTTGCTCAAGTTGATGAATTCATTTGATAGAAAATTGCTCAACTTCCTGTTTACTACCATACTTGTTCCCAATTGGTCAACCAGTCACTGAAATGAGATGCCAGAAGTTGATCAATTTTTCAACGAATGAATTGATAAATTCTAGGTAATGGATTGATGCATCGACAGTAATGTTCTTAGTGTTCCTACTGTTCTTAGTATTCTTAGTGTTCCTACTGTTCTTACTGTTCATACGGTTCTTGCGGTTCTTACTGTTCCTACTGTTCTTACTGTTCTTACTGTTCCTACTGTTCTTAGTGTTCCTACTGTTCTTACTGTTTATAGTGTTCATACTGTTCTTACTGTTCTTAATGTTCCTACTGTTCTTAGTGTTCCTACTGTCTTACTGTTCCTACTGTTGTTAGTGTTATTAATGTTCTTAGTTGTTCTTAGTGTTCCTACTGTTCTCACTGTCCCTATTGTTCTTAGTCTTCCTACTGTTCCCAGTGTTCTTACTGTTTATAGTGTTCATACTGTTCTTTGTACTCCTGCTATCCCTTTTGTTGCTGTAATATACATCTTGTTGCTCTTCTTTGGACATTTTCAACTTTACGTTTGAGCAAAATATGTGCCGGAGACCAGACTTCAGTCGTGTAGTTCATGTGACACTTAACAAGTGATCGTCTTACTCTGGTATCTTTTATCAGTGGACAAGTCCTACGTAGAAGGCCAAGCATTTTGTTGGCTTTACTTACAACAGCCTTTGCTCGTGTCAAGTGAGGTTGCTTGTCATCACAACTCCGAGATCTTTCTCTTTTCAGACAGGAGCCAATGTTTTATCTCACACCAGATGAGTGGAGGTTCAATCTGAGCTTCTCTCGAGTATCATTGCTGTTTTCGGATAGCTGCGAGTTAGTGTCGTAAATCATTATTTGACTATTCACTTTCCAGCTATTCAAAAACGGCATTGACACTCCAGAGAACCTCCAACTCAACCCCCACTCATTGAGTGTGAGCTTTTAGAATCAATGGTGGGTAGTAGCGAAGTAGTTGTTGTTTGCTACTGTAGCGAACTACAATTTTCAAGTACCCAGTAGTTTTTTACTTCTTTTTTAAAACAGTAGTTGTAGTTATAGCGGAACTACATTTTGCCTAAAAATAGCCAAGTAGTTGACTACTTTTCAAACAGCAAATCGCTATTCGCTACTTTTTAAAATTGTTAGCAACCATTCGTAGAATATGATATTAAAAGTGGTACTCCTGAACACTGTATAGTGCTTACAAAAATGTTTGTGGTACTCCTGAACACTGTATAGTGCTTACAAAAATGTTTCTTTGACCCTTTTTGTTTACTGTTTCTACTTGTAAGTCGATTTGTTATAGGTTAAATTACAGCCTGAGCCCAAATACCGTAACACTAAAAAATATAGAGTAGCGAAATAGTTAGCAAAACAGTTCGCTACATTTTTTAAGCAGTAGCTGTAGTCAGTAGCGAACTACTTTTGTTCAAAAGTAGCAGAAGTTGTAGCTGACTACATATTTTTGAAGTAGCTGTAGTTATAGCGAACTACAAAAATTTTGTAGTCAACCCACCCTTGTTTAGAATACAGGTCTGGTACATATGGAATGAATGGTGGAACGTTGGTATTATCACCTAGGGAGGTCTGCTCTGGTACATACGGAATGAATGGTGGAACGTTGCTATCACCACATGCGGAGGTCTGCTTTGGTACACACGGAAAGAAGGTCGAACATTGGTATTATCACCTAGGGAGGTGTGCTCTGGTACAAACGGAACAAATGGTGGAACGTTGGTATTATCACCTTGGGAGGTCTGCTCTGGTACATACAGAATGAATGGTGGAATGTTGGTATTATCACCTAGGGAGGTCTGCTCTGGTACATACGGAACGAATGGTGGAACTTTTTTTCTGTGTTGGTGTAGTGTACTCAGGTGAATATGATATTTGTGGTGTTACTCTGAGTATATATCCACACCGGGCGAGCTTGAAAAATATGCCCGGCCACGGTGGGATTCGAACCTACGACCTTTGGAATACTAGCCCAATGCTCTTCCAACTGAACTACGCGGTCAGGACGGTTCGAGTAAGTGATATTTCGGAACAGAATCTAGTTCCTTCAATACCAATGTATTCTAGTAATATGAATTTTTTCTGTGTAGCTCAGTTGGAAGAGCATTGGGCTAGTATTCCAAAGGTCGTAGGTTTGAATCCCACCGTGGCCGGGCATATTTTTCAAGCTCACCCGGTGTGGATATATACTCAGAGTAACACCACAAATATCATATTCACCTGAGTACACTACACCAACACAGAAAATATTCATATTACTAGAATACATTGGTATTGAAGGAACTAGATTCTGTTCCGAAATATCACTTACTCGAACCGTCCTGACCGCGTAGCTCAGTTGGAAGAGCATTGGGCTAGTATTCCAAAGGTCGTG